GTCCTGTCCACCATTGTTCCTTGGTTTTATTCAGTAGTCTGACATTCTGCGCTTACATCACATTAGCAGTGAGGGACGGCAGGTACAGTCGTGAATGAGGAGGGTTGAGCAAAGATAATTACCAAGCAAATTTACAACACACAAGAAGTCTATCTTTGCACATCACTGAAGAGGTGAATTCTACATTCAGTGATGGTGAAAATGGGAGGGTTTTTTTTGCTTTTTGATGCCAATGTAAGCTACGAAATCGCCACCCACCACCAGTTATTGAGAAGGCTGCTCCCACAATGACTCTAGCTTGCTGTGTGTGTTTCTAGTTCCTGCATGTGTTCAGCTGTGCTGCATGGAAAAACATTCCATGAAACAGTTAACTAGCAGGCGTGAAATAACGTTTCAAGCATGTTCAGGGCTATTTACACACGTGGACAAAATTGTTGGTACCCCTTGTTTAATGAAAGAAAATCCCACAATGGTAACACAAATAACTAGAATCTCACAAAAGTAATAATGAATAAAAATTCTATGAGAATGAACAAATGAAAGTCAGACATTGCTATTCAGCTATGCTTCAACAGAATAAAAAAAAATAAAAAAAAGGGAAACAGGCCTGGTCAGAAACAATGGTACCCCTGAAAATAATGTGACCAAAGGGACATGTTAAATCAAGCTGTGTCCACTAATTATCATCACACGTGTCTACAATCTTGTAATCAGTCAGTGGGCCTGTATATAGGGCCACACTCACAGTGCTGTTTGGTGACATGGTGTGGACCACACTCAACATGGACCACAGGAAGTGAAGAAAAGAGTTTTCTCAGGAGATTAGAAAGAAAATTATCGACAAGCTTGTTAAAGGTAAAGGTACCAACGTTCTTTACATTTGAACTGGAGGCCAGATTAATGCAATCCAGAGGAAGTGAAAGCTGCAAAAGGCTCAGGTCCAAAAACATAACGTGTCTTGTTTGAATTTAGAAGCAGAAAATTTATTCATCCCAATTTTTTATGTCTTTAATACATAATGGCAGTCTAAATAAATATAACTGAGTATCATCATTATGTATTTTTGCCTAAAACATTCTGTTGTTCTTTTCCTGCAGAGTCCAGACTGTCACCTGACAGACTTATCACCGCAGCTACTGACCCAAAAGAAAGTGTTGGCATCGATCTTGTTACTCWGGAAGCATCAGTTCAAGCTGAAAAACCTGAAAACAAAGCAACAACAATTAATTCTCAGGAGACTTTTGCTAACATGAAAGGCTCTAGTACTGTTGAACAGATGGCTTTCTCCAATAATGTGCAATCCAGTGCCACACAGTTTTCAGTCTCTGAAGAGGACCCACAGAGTCCAGGTAACTGGACCACTGAAATGTGTGTTGACAGTAAGAAGGTTATTCTCAGCTCGGACTGGCAGGATGGAAGAGACCTTGGAGAACATAGTTTGGTAAAAATCAAACTTGCTGCCTGTGAAGACTACTCCAGTGACAGTGGGAACAATAACAGTACTAGTACTGGTACACAAGAGCTTTTTCTCCGACAAAGTGCAAAGGACTCACAAGAAGGTGAGTTTTATTTTTGTCCAAGTCATTGTTTCAGGTTATATGTTGGACTTTTCTTGATCATGTTTTTGCCCATGTCTGTTTGTGTTTGTACCTTTTTATGGTAGGCAAAATATCTTTTGAAGTAGTGGATCAGTTTTATTACAACTTTCAGAAAGTATTCACCTGACCTCACTGAACTAGACTACATTTTGGGGTAAACTCCATTGAGGATGGCTACCACAGAAAATAATAATTAGCCACCAATCTAAAAAAGGTTTAAACCAAAAACAACTAGACTTTTGTTTTGAAACTGAAGATATTTGGCTTCCCATCCATGAGGCTTTCTCAATTTAAAATGTCTGGAGTGGGTGGAGTTCCAAACTTTATAGYCCTGCATGAGAGGCAGGGCTGGCCCTGGCCAGTTCGGCACCCTGAGCAAGATTTTAGGTGGCACCTCCCCACTGCAATTTTCTGAATCTCAACTGCCAATTTACATACATGCAAATACAAAATTAAACGGTTTTGTGCAATTAAAATAATAATATTAAATTTGAAACAGAACATCAGAAGCCTACTTAAGCTAACATAACCATGTTAACAAGCAGCTGTGGAGGGAAGAAGTCCCTAAAGGGTGTGACAGGAATAATTCACAGGGCATGACGTGATTTACAAGTTTGGACCAAATTGGCTACAACACCATCCCAACAAAGGAAAGATACATTTTTAACTTAATAGAGTTTTTGTTTGGTTGTGCWGATTATTTAACTGCAGTTTAAAGTTGTAATTTACCAAACTGTCATTTTTTAGACCTTCTGTCCTCTTAGAATTCTATCAAAATGCATATTTTTAAGTATGTGCACTGCAGGCAGAGAGCAAATCAATTTGTGTACTTTGACATTTTTAAAATGATTACATTTACACGATTATTGGCATGTTATACGAAGTAAATTTAAAGGTGCAGTAGGGAGTTTTAAGAAAACCATGGAGTTAGCCTGAACYTTTGACCAAGTTAACCTTACAGGTCCCTCCCCTTTGCTCTCTGCTGCCACTACAGCCCTCCATCCACAGCTCCTCCATTATAAGACATACATAGCAGAGCCTTCCATGATGTGCAGGCTGAACAGCAGAGCAACCTGGATATACAGCCATGGAACATTCAGAACTCTCAGAAATTGGTGATTTTCACCGCCATTAGCACAGCTGCAATCTTGAACGTGATTTACACCCTCCTAATTCTAATTGGCTGTTTCTGACCGGGAGCTGTGTTTTTCTGCAGATAACAGCAGGACCACTGGGAGGAGTCAGAAGAGCTTTAATTATTTCCTCAGATTATCTGTCTCGTATTCTGCTGTCAGAGCATAGTAACAGCTTTAACAAATTTGCAAATTTTAACAAAATTACTGCAGCTTTAAAGTGTAACTTACCCCCCCACCCCTGTGAAAAGATAACTCCGCCCCAAGGTGAAATTTAAAAAATGCATCAAAGTGGGTAGGGG